AAAATAAGTTCATGGGTAGACACTTGCAATTCCATGCAATTCGAATTTTTTTGATACGTTCCGTTGTCTTTGTAAATATATTAGAGGGATAACAAAATTGATATTAATTCTATTATTTTACATTACTGCATTAATTCCGATTATAACATCGCAAAATCCATCCTAAATTTTCTATTAATTAAAATTATACGATAACAAAACAGCCATCCCCACAGAAATCGCGTTTTGGAATCACGTGCGCGTGACAATTATCACCTGTCAAGAAATATTCAAATAAATTCTGCCTCTGGTATGAGCGCTATATTATATATACGCAAAATCGGCGTATAATCATTCATTTCCCCAATACAGATATGAACACATACTTCTTTTTCGGTTAGCTTAATGATAAAAGTTTAGTGACAGTATTTATTGTGACAGATTAAAACGAAATCGGATTAAAATGAAAATTTAAAAAATTTTGGGGGCAATTTTTTAGACTTTTTTTGGGATTGGGGATGGGATTTAGGGTAACGTTTGTTAACATTAATACACAGTCAGCCTCGATAAGCCGTCGATAAGCCGGTCCACGTGATTTTTGTAATATGTGACACAGTTTTTGTCAAATTTAACTGGTTGATCACAACTCGTACGGCAATTATGTTATTAAATCGTATAATCCGAACCGTTATTATTATATAAATCAAATCGCTAAAATGTATTACAAACAACAATCAAAGCACTACAGTCATACGATCAATCCAAATACATGTCACTAGAGCAGTAGTATATCATTAGATCATACGATTAGAGCAGTATCATGTACAATAATAATAATAATAATATAATTGTTTAATTAAATATCTTTCATCATGTGGGTCTCAATAAACCGGTCGCCTCGATAAGCCGGCCATTCAGAACCAGCTCCTGTTGGCCGGCTTATCGAGGCTGACTGTGTATGTGGGTTTCAGAGGCATTAAAAGAGGATTCAAAAAGACCCCAAATTTCAAGTCAAAATCATTGTGATCACGTTTTCGTTAATTAACCCCTGAAACTTGGTTATTTGTGACCACATTCTCAATCTATGCGTTCTGACGCGCGTTAGCTAACTGTAAAAGCTTATTTCTAAAAACATAACAAGAACGATAACTGAAGTAATTGCTATGACAGAAAAGGATAGACCCGAACTCGACTTTGGTACGTATTCTCTAGCCTGCTAACTATTTGCCTGGCATGGTATAAGCGCTTGAGCGTTCTCAAGTATTATGAATATAGAGTGCTTAGCGCTTATGTTTGCATAAAGTAGAAGTATGAATGATATTATCTGCACTTCTGGTCCATTGATCGTAGCTTTAATGTTTTATCAAAGATAATCAACAAGGCGAACAGAAGTTCTGTACGTTCATCAAAGGATTGCCTCAGGTTTTTGATTCTATTTATCATTTTATTTACGCGTCAAAGTTGTGTTTCTTTTCCTTTTTAACATTGATTTTTTAACTAGAAACCGGAAAACACACTTCGGCTATTTGAAAGAAGCAATGGAGTGAGTGATAGTGTATCACACCTGGCATATCGCATTTATGCGTACAACATTTTAATTATCTATCTTGACTCTTGAAGGATTTCTACAGCGTGCACGGTGAAGATGCGTTTTACATAGCACAGAATGTGTACAAGACGTCTTCCGTTGTAAAGTATCTAGGAGGTTCGTAAACACCTCCAAACTGTCCCTTAATCCTTATATCAAATCACTTTATTGGGATAAATTTCTTCTTTTAATTGAAGGTGACGCAAAGAAAGGTCTACCAAGCTGTACAATATCACGATTAATGGCAGAAACCTTTCTCAGGGATGCTCTTCTAAACAAACAAATGAAGATTGAAATATGGGGTGGAGAGCCTCGTAAGAATATCTGGAGAATAGTCAAGAGGGTATGATATGAGTGTTTACTACTTGCACAGAGTCTTCGCTACAATTCTAACGTCCGTGACATCTTTAATCCGTCAGGCGTCCCCTGGTAACTTGCAAGATTTGGAAGATCTCTTATTCACTAATGTCGACATGGCAGCATCACCTATTGTGATCGCTGTCAAGCTGGGCAGTCAGCGTGATCACAAAATCGTCGGTGTTGCGTTTGCGGACGCGACTATAAGAGAGTTGGGTGTCTCTGAGTTTGTTGACAACGAGCTGTATTCTAATTTTGAGGTAATTCCGTAATTACGAACTTGTGATATAAACTTTGGGACTGTTATAACGCACGTGTTTCGAACATTAACACCAACTTATTATGGACCGACGACGGCGTATTGGGTATGTTAATCCGTCTCAGTCCCTTGTGATTCAGCTTGGAGTCAAAGAATGTATAATGCCAGCCGATGAGGCACAAAAGGATTATGAACTACTCAAGCTAAAGAGCGTTTTGGAGAAATGCGGCGTAGTGATGACCGAGCGGCGAAGAAGTAATTGTTTAATACTTTAGCATTTCCACACTTACGCACTTCTTGATAGAGATAGTTATGATTTTCTCACTCAATTAGGTGACTTTACAAGCAAAGACGTCGAGCAAGACCTCAATCGGTTACTGGAAGAAGAGATTTCGGTTTCAAATTTGCGTGAGTTGTAATAATGCATTGATCTTTAAGATGGTTTCTGCATCCAACTAAAGAAATAATTCACAGCCGAGTTTGAACTGAAAAATGCCATGTGTGCATGTGCATGCTTGATAAAATATCTATCGGTATAGCATCATATATATCAATTGCTCTTGCTCATATGAAACCAAAATTCTGACACCATTTTAATTGTATATAGCTTTTGACTGATGAAAGCAACTTTGGAAATTATCGTCTGAGTTTGCACGATCTTTCTCAGTATATGAAGCTGGACGCTGCGGCTCTGCGAGCATTGAATCTATTTCCAGGACCTCAAGACGGTACTGCATTTAACGGTTAAGACCTTGTTTCTGTGATGTCGACATATTGAGCCTTGACACGTAGGCAATGATTATTATAGGTTCCAATAAATCGATGAGTTTGTATGGGTTGCTCAATAAGTGCAAGACTGCTCAGGGATCGCGATTGCTTAGTCAATGGCTTAAACAACCATTGATGGAATTAGCAGATATCGGTATGTAATGACGATTTATTAACGACAGAATACAAGCTTCCTATGGAATACTGATAGACCTGTAATAATATTCATTGCCAGAACGAAGACAAAACCTAGTCTCAATATTTGTTGAAGACACCGAACTCAGACAGTCACTTCGGGTATGGTAGTATTGACGTCGATAATACCACCAACTGTAGATTACGCAATCCACAAACGATCATATCCGCTACTGAATATTATTATACTTGATATCACAACCAAATGCTCTGGATAACACAAGCCCACAATACTATTTTTGTAGGAAGACAATTTAAGAAACATTCCTGATCTACATCGCTTAGCCAAGCGTTTCCAAAAAGGCATTGCGTCTTTGCAGGTTTGAATATAATTGTTGTTGGAAAGTTTTCTAATCTATTCGATAGTGTTACTCACTTTCATGTAATCTATAGGATGTAGTACGTGTATATCAAGTTGTCATACGGTTGCCTGGACTTATTAATGTATTAGACAGTTATGAACCTCTTTATGAGTCGCGCAAAGAGATCGTAGAAGAAGTGTATATATCAAAGTTAAAAGTAAGATATTTTGATGCATGTGGTCTATCCACAATGCAATTTTATTCGCTGTTTTCTAAATGGTTACTATAAGAGTATGTTTAAATCTTTGAAAGTGATTCCATTAACACTATTATAGAAACATGCAGAAAGTCTGGAAAAACTACAAGAAATGGTTGAAACAACTATCGATTTGGAAGCCATTGAAAATCACGAATTTATGATTAAGGCCGATTTCGATGAAACTCTACAAGGTTTAATTTGGTTATCCAATCAGTTGACTTTGGCAATGTGTGATTTAATTTCATTTATTCGTTATTGTAGCTATAAGAACTAAACTTGATGAAATTATGAGGGAGATGAGTCAAGAGCATCAGCGAGTACGTTTTGATCATCTAGGTTTTCTCTTGATGCGTTAATTATTAATGGTCATTTTACAAATAGGTTGGGGACAAGCTCGACATGGAGTTGGATAAAAAATTACACATGGAGAAGCAAAGTGTATACGGATACTGCTTCAGACTTACGCGTAATGTCAGTAAAGAGATCTTTCATACTGTTGCGAAAGATTTTTCTTTTTTTAAATAGAAACTGCTGACGTTTCTTGCGTTTAATGAAAGGATGCAAGCTGTCTTCGGGGAGCCAAAAGTTTCATAGAGCTGACGACTCAGCGAAATGGCGTTTATTTTACTACTGGAAAGATGAAAAGCCTGAGTAGTGCTTTTACTGAATTGTCAGATGAATATGAGAGAAAACAGACGAATCTAGTAAAGGATGTAATTAACATCGCCGGTACGTTTTAAAGTTTGGCGTAGGATGCATTCTATAAACCTCCAACTAGTCGGCTTAATTAAGACGACTTTCGTGTATGTGAATAGCAACTTACTGCCCTACGTTGGAGATGCTTAATGGAGTACTAGCACATTTGGATGTGATAGTCAGGTAAGCTTGTGTCCTGTTAGGAAGAAACAAAACGAATTATCACCTTTACTAATACGGCATTTTTTTAAGCTTTGCGCATGCTGCCGTACACGCTCCAATAACTTTTGTTCGTCCAAAGATGACCGCAAAAGGTAGCCTCTAATGAATATCAATCAGTAACCTGCATTAATCCTTATAATCTGACCTGATTTGCCGTCCTAGTATACTGGTCTAATTCTTTACCTTTATTTATTAAAAGGTTGTGGTAATGTTATATTGAAGGCTGCTCGACATCCATGCTTGGAAGTACAAGACGATGTCTCCTTTATTCCGAATGACGTCCAACTGATTAGAGGTAGATAGGGGTTGATGATGAGAAGAGATTACTATCATTCTCGATTATGTGTTATTAATAATATCTCGACAGGCGAAAGCGAATTCCAAATAATTACGGGTCCCAATATGGGTGGCAAGTCGACATACATTCGTCAGGTGATGAAAAAAGTTCTGTTAACGTTTGCTTATAGATTAACCAACACAGAACTCACTATAAGTCTGCTTTCCATCTTAGATTGGAGTTGTTGCTCTTATGGCTCAAGTGGGTTCATTCGTCCCATGCGCTGAGGCCAGTTTGTGTATATTTGATTGCATCCTTGCAAGAGTAGGCGCTGGTGATAATCAGCTCAAAGGGATATCGACCTTCATGGCCGAAATGTTGGAGACAGCAACAATTTTGAGAGTATGTAATGAAAGCTTACGTTTTGACAGTTTGACAACTATTATACACATTTGACCACTGAATATGTACGAATGTTTAGACTGCAACCGCAAATTCGTTGCTAGTAATAGACGAACTTGGTCGAGGAACAAGTACATCTGATGGTTTCGGTTTAGCTTGGGCAATTTCGGAGTATGTATTCATATTTGATTCTCCAGCATATATAAATTCACTAATTATTTGAATTTTTTCATTCAGGTATATTGCAAAACAATTACGTTGCTTTTGCCTTTTTGCAACACATTTCCATGAACTTACTATGCTTAGTAAAGACGTTCCAACCGTTCGTAATTTACACGTGACGGCGCACATAGAAAAGACGATTTCAGGAGACAGAAGCATTACTCTGTTGTATAAAGTGAATGAAGGTAAAACGTACAGCTATGTCGCAGGCATGCCACGCATGTAGTACTTATCGTGTCTTTAATCTGTAGGTGTATGTGATGAGAGTTTTGGCATCCATGTGGCAGAGCTCGCCAACTTTCCTGAATCTGTTGTAAAGGTATAAAAACTTGCGGCTGCTTGTCTTCTACTGGATTGGTTACTGATACCAACGTATTTATTAGATTGCGAAAAAAAAGGCTGAAGAACTGGAAAATTGTTCTAATGGTAAGATAGGTAAAATTTCTATTGCCTACATATTCATGGGAACTCATTGCTATCTATTTAGGTGACGCGATGGAAATTGACGGAGTGGGGACGTCTGGAAATAGCCTTCATCAGGCAGAGGTATTTCGTTGGCATGAAGATTTAGCATAATTATTGCGCAACTTGCTCGCTTTATTAACTTGGTCAACACCTTTCCTTTTGTAATGAAGCGGGAAGACCCACTAGAGTCAAATCCAATACTGAATCAACTTTTTATGGAAATCGGAAATGATGATTCCGAGTCTCTAGAACACGAATCAACGCTTAGTCGGCTGCAAGAAATAAAGGCTGACTATCAGAATAGAGTCCAGAACGAGATCTCTGCTGTAGGTGAAAGTGAATGAGAACTGAAGTTGATTCAGTTTATGTTGATAATAATAATAGCTAATTACAAAGTATTGTAAATACAAATAATAAACGAATATATTAATCTTATTGCGGTTTTCAAAATGCCGTGACACCCTGTCCACGGGACTAAAAAAAAAACGAAGACACTAGTCATGGGTCATGTTACCTACGATGTGGTTGATAGTTAAAATTTTTTCGTCTAAGATTTCAAGGAGAGAATGTTCCCAATAGCTGATATTGAACCGTTCTTAGACCTTAAGCAAACTTAAAT